TCCTTCCATTAAAATTCGAGTTATATACCCAACATTTAAAATAAGTACACTTGATTTTAGACATCAAGTCTATTCAGAGGTAAATGCAAGTGTTATTGTATTACCATGAGAGACAGATAAAATATTTCTTCTTTTAGAAACACCAAAATATTTTCATTATATCAAAATATTTCCGTCAAATTCTAATTTAGTATCGGAATGGATGTGTGAAGCTGTAATTGCAGTGATTATGAATTTTTATCAGTTAACAATGTTTCAGATAAACCAGTAATTATTCATTCACTAAAAATTTCCCATTTTTTTGCAAAAAACGAAGAAAAATGTTCACTAACACTAACTCAGATATATAAAAAATTAGTGTTTTTATTCAATATGCAATAGTGAAATTTCAAATTTGCACATTTTGCTGTTTAGTAACGTATTACTCCATCAAAATGCAAATGTATCTTGTATTTCAAGGATTATTTCAATGCGAAATTAAATACGGAAATAACTGGAAATGTAAATACCTTAAGTATAACTATGCTTATTTCAGTAAATAAAATAATGATGAGACATTGTATTATGTTTGATAGCGAGTTGATTCTTATGATATTCATTTTTGAGGTCGCAAGGTTGCAGGTTCGAAACCCGATTCCATTGAAGATCCGTCGTGTATTGGGCTTGTCGCACGTTAAATCATACGCAGGGGGGCAAACGTCTTTCCGTTAGTGTGATGCGGAAATTTGGAGAGGGGTTATCAGCTCAGGTGTCGTCTTTGTCATCTGACCGAGGTTCAAAATTACGAGGTCAGTCCCAAGATAGCCCTAGTGTTGCTTCAAAACGGGACTTTAATATAACTAAACTAAACTTGTGATATGCAGCTATGTCTTTTGACTCACTCAAAACGCATATCGTCACAATCAAGGAGATACAAACATGAATTAAATAAATAGTCCAAAAATGAAATTAGCAGAACCATGTACCGTTAAGTTATTTACACATAGGCATATCTTCATAAACCTCCGACATATCTTCTGACGCTAAGAAGATGTTACTGTTCTTTACTTGTTGTTTAAGCATTTTTACATACGCCATTCATTTATTATCTGATAAATGGAACCATCATGTTACTTGAGATTATTATTTGCATCATACGGAAGTCCCCGATAGCAATTTTAGTTTGCAGCAAGCTTGCCACAAATTTGTCATGACAAGAGTGCAAGTTTGCGACAAATTTGTCGTGACAAGAGTGCAAGCTTGCAGTAAGCTTGCAGCAAGTTAACAAAAGCTCCGAAGTCACCATGAAACGAACTTGCAGCAAGTTTGCCGTATCAAACTCATTGCAAATTATAGCAAAAACAGAACACGAACACAACCCGGGATGGAACTCGCGACCTCCCGGTTCCGAAGCAGAGACGCTAACCATTGAGCCAGTTGAACTCTGAGAGTAGAAGATAGATTTCGCTAATACATCGTTCGATTCGATTCGTATACGATTTATTTTTAACTATTTTCTGGATTTCATTAATTTTTTGAGTTGAGAATATGATTTGAAGTCAAAGAGAGAGCGATTTCCGCTAATAACTACGTTTTGCTAGTAGAATAAATTATGAAATTAGAGTTCAAAAGTAATTACTTTAAAATGGGACAAAATGTCTAGTTATTATTGTTCAACAAACACTGACTGTTTTTTAGATTTAATTTTGTTTATAAACGTTAAAATTTCAACATTAAGAAAAAGGCGATATAGTTTTCTTTAAAGTGAGAGTGATATATTCAGTAAAAAGATGGAAAATGTTTCAAAAATTTTTTTTATAAAAAAGTTATTTTTTTCACAAATTATCATTGATTTATTGAATTAATAAATAAGAATTACGGTCTGGGAGATGCTATTAAAAATCGGATGTTTTTAAAAACAGAGACAAAGATAATTATCTCTTTATTGTGCTATCTTTGCAGGAAGCTTGTTTTGCAAAATTGCAGCAAGTTTGATTTGCAAGCAGGTGGCGCTATTTGTCACATCGAACTTGCTACAAGTTCGATTCAAGTTTGACGCGTCAAATTTTGCCATGACAAGTCAAAATCAAACTTGCTGCAAACTTACGTGCTATCTGGGGTAGATATTAGAAGAAATAATTTTTTTCAGCGAACTCTAGATAAAGGTTTAGTTAAATTATCAGCAACCTGATTAACATTTTCATAATACTCCACATTCAATTCTCCATTGTGATACTTGTCCCGAAGACATTAGTATTGAACATCTATGTGTTTTGTTCGATTATGAAACTCAGGATTCTTTATTAGCCGAATTGCACTCTGATTGTCAACTTGCAGTACAGGAACACACTTCAAAAGATGGATTTCGATAAACAGTCTATACAACCAAACTGCTTCTTTATATTTCTTAGGCCTGGATGGCTGCAACAAATTCGGCTTCCGTTGTAGATAAGGATATGCACTTTTTACGGTTCGATGCCCGCGTTATTGCTCCTCCACTGAACTTGAAAATCATACCAGATGCTGATTTCCTAGCAGAAATATCTCCAGTATAGTCAGAATCACTAAATTCTCCAATAATTTTAATGTTGAGCTGATTGGTACAGTATTCCCCAACTCGAAGTTCTTCTCTTGACTGAGTTTGAATCATTTCTATAGATGTTTTCTCAGACGTGACCTCACCTTTAAAAACAATATCTTACGATAGCAAAACATTTTTATCTGGTGCCCAAATACAATAACCATCTTTTTCACCACAACAAACAACAAAATATCCTTTAATAGCCTTCTTATCGAATTTTCCACTTTTCTGCTTTGGGATGTGAATAAAGCATTCAGTGCCAAAACATTTTAGATGATCAACAGAAGATTTTATTTTGAACCAGATTTCGTAAGGAGACTTTCCTACTTCTGGTGTAGGCCCTGTTCTATTTAAAACATATGCAGCAGTGTTCACAGATTCACTCCACAATTTCTCAGGTAAGTTATTAGCATGAAGCATAGACCTTGCTGCTTCCACTAGAATTCTGTTCTCTCTCTATCCCTCCATTCTTCTCTGGAGTATAAGGCATTGATGTTAGATGGCTCAGACCTTTCTTTTGAATTATTTGGTGAACCTGATAATTGTTAAATTCACCACTTCCGCCTGTTAAAAGTTCTTTCAACACGTAGCCTGTATTCTCATTTCAGATAGAAATCTAGATAATATTTCTTTAACCTCAGATTTTTATTTTATTAAACAGACAGACCTGTATTTAGAATAGTCATCTTTAAATGCAACAAAATATATGCTGCAACCTAGAGACTTTTTAGGAATAAGGACGCACACATCTGCATGTACAAGCTGACCAGGAGAATTAGGCCGATGCTGTCGACTTCCAAAACTAAGTCTATGCATTTTCCCATAAATACAGGCGTCATAAAATTAACTATCTAATTTTATATCAATTTCTTTGGATTTCAAAAACCTTTGGAAATACTTTTTGTTCTGATGGCCCATTCTTTCATTCCACAATTGCAAAATGTCATTTTTCACTGCTGCAGAGGCTGATTCTAGAACAAGTACACGCATTAGTAATTTGTACACACCGTTTGTACCTTATTCCAACAGCAACATTATCACTATCATTCAATATACTTGTTTACAAATTTCCTATTGTTTATTATCTGCAAATTCAATCAGTTCCTTATCGAGAGCAGCACCAGAGGAGAACAGATTTTGTCCACATTCAGGTACGTACCACACATTGGTCAGAGAGCCAGTATTCAATTTTCCTTTAACAAGCATCTCAACCTGAATATCTCCAATGCCGTTAGCATATATGCATAGACCATCCCCTAAGAGTAATAGTCGTGATGCATCAAACATCTTACATGAAGTAAACCAGTTCAACTTTGAAGAAACATGGTGTCAAGCACCAGAGTCAATAAGCCAATAATCTGGACTCTTTTCAGTAACAGTTATAAACTGGCATAGGTGTGCGAGACTCCTCTTTCTCTTATTCAGAACCTTCATTCTTGAATTTGTAGCAATTCTTCTTCATATGACCAGAACGTCCAGAAAAGTGACATTTCATCTTTTTGTTCTTTTACTTTTGCACTGAATCTGCTTGATTCTTGGCGAAGTTCTTACTTCGTTTGGCGACAAATGGCACACATTTACTTTCATGAGGAAGTTTCATCCTTTCCTGCCTTTGCTCGTGCAAACGCAACCTTTCTGTAAGATTATCCACAGTTCTTTTATTAACTGGAACAAATTCCTATCCATTTTCAAACTCCAGATATTCAGTAGGTAAAGAGTTCAGAATCCTATTTAGCAGCATGGTGTTCAAATTTCGTAAATTCTAATATCCGCAAATACACCATTCTCCAATCACAAGCAACATATACTTTTATTGACGTAAACATGGAAGACCAACACATAACACACGCAGCACAAGGCAAGCATAGAACAAAAACTAACAAGATATCTATGAGACAGAGAGTTATAATATAATTGACCGAGCGAAGCGAGGTCTACGTTTTAACTCGTTCAAAAGTTTTAATGGCTCCAAACTCGCCAGAACATCGAAATCAGTAAAATGGCATCAAAGACGGAACGAATTTTAAAAAATAAGAAATAGAACATATGCACCATTTCTATTCCTTCAAGAAACAATTATGCCCAATTCGTAGGAAATCAAACGCGTTCAGTCCTAATCGCGTAATAAACAAATTTTCAGATAGACAAAAGTTCTCAATGGTTAAAACGTAGACCTGGGTTCGCTCGGCCAATTATTTTGGTAAAGGCGAGACATGCAACTAGAATCTTGTAAATACTGATAAAAGCCAAATTTTTTTGCAATTTCATTAATTAGATAAAAACATGCATGGTAATTTTTTTCATACCAATAAAACAGCTATTTCACTGTCATATTGTTAATTCGGATGAAAACAAAGATTTGTGAAAATAATACGCATTTATAAAAGAGAGAGAAATAAATCATAAGTTCCTTCTTCTTGATAGTTGTTCTTCCTGTTTAGTTCTTTGGCGGCGGTAGGATTGAACTGAGGACCTTTCGGTTATGAGCCGAAAATCCTAACCACTAGACAAAAGGAATTCCCCATGTCCGTAGGCGGATATTGGCTAATATACATCAGAGTAGGATGGCGTAGCACGGTGCGCCACAGGAGCAACCCCCAGCTTGTTTGATATTATCTGAATATCAAGGAAGCGATGTGCTGCGTGCATATGCGCAGATTGCTGCCCAGATTGGTGGTGCGCAGGCACGTGCAGACTTTGTGTTATGAAATGGTCATAGACTTTGCGTGCTGTGAAATGTGTCACAGGCTTTGTGCTATGAAATGTGTCATAGACTTTTGTGCTGTGAAATGTGTCACAGGCTTTGTGCTATGAAATGTGTCATAGACTTTTGTGCTGTGAAATGTGTCACAGGCTTTGAATTGGGAGAGCTGCGTTGCTGTAGGAGTTGTCGTTCTGCCATCTGGTGAATGTAGCAGAAGATGGAATTGACCTGATATTTGGTGCTGCCATCTATTAGTGGGACTGAAAGTTGTTGTTGCGTGTTCATTGTCCGCGAGTCACCACTTTGGCGGCGGTAGGATAGAACTGAGGACCTTTCGGTTATGAGCCGAAAATCCTAACCACTAGACAAAAGGAATTCCCCATGTCCGGAGGCGGATATTGACTAATATACATCAGAGTAGGATGGCGTAGCACGGTGCGCCACAGTTCCATCTAATCTTGTTTTTCTCTTTTCGTGAAAGGTTCTTCAGTGAAAGTTGAAGAAGAGTATTTGTTATTCGTGTAACTTTTGTTGCGTATTTATCACGCCAATATGAAAATTGTCATGATAAATACCAATCGCATTTATTCATAAAGATACTTATTCCATCGACAAGTGCTATTGCCACTGTTAAGGTTATGATAATAAAAATTGCTTTCTTAGGAAATTAATGTTTTACAATAATTTTATATATATTTCACTTGAATTTCATTGAATTGCTGAAATATTTTAGCAACACCGCTATTGCATTTTATTTTTGTAAAATGTTTGTATTTGTTTGGAAGTAAAGTTTATACACAATTTTGGTGTGTAGTATTGTACATTGATTGTAAATATAGCTTTGTAAGATAGTGAATATATGGGGACAAAGAAGGTAAACTGGTGTCCAAATGTCTGCCACAATTCTTAAGATACGACAAATCTGATGTCAGTATGGATACAATGGTTTGAACAGTTGCGAAGAGCCGTGGGGTATACAGTAGTCAGAACTCACATTTTACAGTGAAAATCTCGTCACGAGGGTATTTAAGGGCAACCAGAAAATGACGAAGACGAAAAGGGATGTCGATTCATCTCGTTTCACAGGAAGCTAATAACGAGATGAAACTTTCAACAATTATTTCATTTAATGTGCGTAATATTTGCATCGTTTTCGTAAAAAAACCACTAATATTCAGGAAGATATAAAGGTTTCTTTAAAAAATCCCCAAATTTTGCACATGTTTTTTGCTTATAACATGCAGTGTTTTCAATAGAATTATACGAAACTTAGAGAATACATGACAATATTTTAGAAAAGCATAGAATTGAAATGTGATGTAAATACGTTGAAAAATAAAGGAATTAAGAGTACTTGTATTAATTAATTTTTAAGTGCACATGCGCTAAACATAGCATAATTTTTTTTTATTATTTCAAATTCAGATATATAGGGCAGCTTATATAAAAATTCCGGTTCGCTAACTTTAAGATTAAGAAAGATATCGGCATTTCAAGAGCTGAATTGATTTTGTTCTCTAAGAGAAACGAAATTATGAGGGTTTTTTCCACAAATTTATATTTTTGTAAAGATTCTTAGAACAGTACTATTGAATTCTATGAAAGTTGAATATCCTGAATCCTCATGTATACATATAAATTTAATACATTCAGTATACATATTAAATACATACAATTGCAGTTCGACGATTACTATTCGTAGATTTAACTTTCAAGAACATCAGTTTGTGAGAAAACGCTCATACTTTTGTTTATCTTTTTCTTAATTTAATGGTAGAGAACTGGGTTTTTATATAAGCTGCCTTATATATCTGAAATTTTAATTATGTAAGAAAAATTATTCTGTTTCGCACATGTGCAGTTAAAAATTAATTAATACAAATATCCATATGTCCTTTATTTTTCAATCTACTTACTTCAAATCTTAATACAATGTTTCTGTAAAATATTGTCACATATTCTGTCAATTTCGTATAATTTTGTTGAAAACATTGCATATGGTAAACAAAAACCATGCATGAAAATTTGGGATTCTTTAAGAAAACCTATATATTTTCTCTAATATAGGTGCTATGTTTGCAAAAATGCATTTAAATCTTATGTATATCATTCGAAATCCTCGATGAAGGTTTCATCCCGTTTTTCCATCAGTTGAAATCCCTTTTCGTCTTTGTCAGTTTCCTGTCATCCCTGTAAATGCCGTCGTGAGAAGAATTTTGCTGTAATATGTGAGCTCAGACTATTGTAATATGTTCCACTGCTCTCCGCAACTGATTGCGAACCATTGTATCCATATTAACTGCAAATTTGTCACGTCTTAATAATTGTGCTAAAATTTTGGACATCAGTGTACCTCCTCGAGAATCAAATTATGATGTCTTGCGTCCCTACAAAAAATACTATCTTCACAATGAATGTCAACATTGGCTAAACTTTAAAAAATGCGATGAAGAGAAAATCTTAGATTTTTTTATTTGGGGGAAGCGAGATCTACAGGTTAACAGAACTACTAGCATAGAAACTAGGAAAAAGCGCGCAGCGCTCCCAAGTGACATTCGTGAGCTATTGTTTCAACACATGGATTTAGAAAACTGAACGATTTCGCCTTTGAGTTCATCCTACAGATCTTGCCAAATTCCTTGTAATTTAGAGACAAGCGTAGCAATATCATCCACAATGTGCTTTCATAACTGAGCAACTGAGAATATAAGAGATCTAACCTCTTTTCATCCCGTTACTCTAGACACTATGAAGAGCGTCCCATATATCTTCCCTCGTTTTGCAAGTGAAAATATGATTCTTTTGCTCTGGCCTCACACTGGAGCCAATGATATACCTTTCAATGACATCCAATTCCTAAAAAACATTTTAAAGCTGTATCATAAGCTTTCTTGTCATTTTCGCTGGAGTCTAACCGAAGTGGCGCCTGGCTTAGCAACTTTTCCTTGAACTACTGGCATTTCTTTTTTAACAGTCAATTGAAGTTCCACATCGAACTTTCAGGTAACCCGGTTCCTTACCACTTCTAATCTTTCAATAAAATTCAGTTTCTCCACCTTAGGAGTTGTCTGTCTCTACAGACGACGCGGAAAGTAGGCCTAACAGTTCAAAGTAAAAATCGAGCCATCAATAAAAAAAATCTTACTTCAAAATACTCTACAGCTTAGTCGCCCATAACCACTTGAGATTATTATTTGCATCATACAGAAGTAGAAATTCAAAGTATTTTAGATAATTTATTTAACAGCAAAATCAAACTATACACAGTCACAAAAAGGAAAATTAGTGAACTAAGTTAGTGCTATTTAAATTCAAATTTTAAGTACATACACAGTTATAACTACAGTTAACACATACATTATACATAACAGAAAGGCAGTGGTATGAATTTATATTCAGCAATGTTGACACCTGATTAAAGTGATCTCTACTAATAATAAAGGAGAATTTCTCTGTATGTGGTGTGTGTGTGTGATTTGGCGATCAACAGGGCAGACCACTAGGCTTAGAGCAACGAAATTTGACACGAACATACTTAGGAGGGTGGGAGAGTGCACCTCGCAGCATTTTTTAAAAATTCTAATTAGAATTTAAATTAAATTAATATTAAGCTAAATTTTAGCTATTTTTCTTAACAACTTCCAAAAATAATACAACAAAGAGATTATTTTTTACACCATCTAATTTTTTTTAAAATTACATTTTGAATGATATCGATTAAGTTGGCTTAAGATTTTTTCTCTATTTTTAATAAATTTAAAACAATATTTCTTGACATAATTTACAACAATACTTTTCATTTTTGCACCGCATTTCAAATAATTTTCATTGCTTAAAGAAATGTTTAATTTCCTATTTCTCTACCATTGTTGAAAGCTAAGAAAATATCTAACTGGATTTTACTATTATTTAAAGCTAAGAAAATATCTAACTGGATTTTACTATTTCCTTTTATTTGATAAAATTTTCTGTGAAATCTGTCAAGAAAATACTCAAGATAGTAAGTATATAATGAAATAATCCAGTGAACTGAAAGATTAACTTTGCTATGTTTTAATTCTTTTTATTAGCGTGTTTTAAGCCAATTAGCATGTTACTGTACGTAAAATCTGCCGCGCCAATTTAATGTTGAAATCAAATGCGTATTTTACGTTAATATAGACATGGAACATAGCAAGTGCAAGGCTACGAAAAGAACGCGGGTCAAATGTCTATAGCAATTTGAAGTTTAAAACTACTTTGTTAAGGTAACCATGAATATAAGATTATGCATAAGATATTCAGTTGAAATTTTATATCCTTAGTTTTCTGCTCAAAGAAGGTTGTAGTTGCTAATATAAGTAAAGGAGTAATAACTTACTTACTGAATATCGTTATTCAGGCTCACTTATTATATTTTATTTTATTAATCTCTGACTGCCAAATTTTTTTAATTACTACTTAGATCCAATGTCTGAAAACATGTTCAAATACCATTGAATCAAGCGAATTGTTATTGGTATGCAAGGCGTTATTAGTATAATATAATTATAAGTTTTAAAAGTATATAAATTAAAACCATTAGCATCCGAAAATGGCAGGATGCAACAGAAAATAGACTGGACCGAAAATCAAGGGATAGGCAGCCACAGGGACATAAATTCACATCATAGCAATTTAAACTACAGGGTGGTCATAAATTGTTTGACCCAATTCAAAAATTAATAAAAAAATAATAATGTTACAAATACGTTTTTTTAAATGAGAGCGTATTAAAAAAAATTTTTTTAGGTAAGTAACGCGACGTTACGTTGGTCTAGTTGGTCGTAAATTG